CCCTGGGATCAGCTGAAGATCACAACATTGTGATTCATAGGCATAACTGTCAGAAGTAGATCCCCAGACTTTATGAATCTGGAAGCTGCACAGACACGGGTTCAGTATCACAGCAGCACACAGGCAGGCCTAGACAGAGAGATGAGTACCGACTGCACATTAGGTGCCTGTGGCCAGGAACCTGGGTCTGGTTCATTAGAAAACCAGAAGTCTGTCACTGGGCCACCACTGTCTCTGAAAGATTATAATGTGCTCCTCTTGGGAAACTAGTACGTAGGCTGAACAGATCGGGATGTGAACACACAACACCTGTACCTTGACCAGTGGAAATCCTGAAAATGAGGATGAGGGTAAAAGAAAGACCTAGCCCCCATTCTATGATCATAACCATTTTTTAAATAAGAAAGCAAGAAGCCTGTTGTCCCATAATCCTTTTGAGATAGCAAGGGCCTGTAATAGAACAGTTGCAGTGGGCTGGAGGGAAGGGCCACTTTGGGAGAAATGTTGCAGGCATTTAACACCAGGCATTCGTGGTAGTTAGATGAGCAAGTGAGGAACAAAGAAGGCAAGATGGTGCCGAAGAGTGAGTACTTTTGACAAACATTGTGCCCTCAATGTGTCCCTGCTTTACAAAAGTAGGAGAAACCAGGGGCTTTTCTGCTCCTGCAAAGGTTACCCACAGTATCAGAAACCCACAGGGGTAGTTCTACCCGTCTTATGGAGCCCTAAGACTCAGAATTGACTCACTGGCAGGCAGTGAGTGTGGCTTTTGTTTGTTTGTTTTGTTTCGTTTTAATGAAAGTGAAGTCAATTACTGGCAGAGATATGGGGAAGGGCTTGTTATTTTTGCTGTTATGTGACTGTAGCCATTTCCCCTTCGATTGCCATTGAAATTGCAGCATTTCTTTTTTTTTTTTAATCAATTTATTGGGGCTCATACAATTCATCACAATACATAGATCAATTGTGTAAAGCATATCTATACATTTGTTGCCCTCATCATTCCCAAAATTCGCTAGCCTCTAATTTTCCTTTTTTCCCCCCTCCCCTTCCCTTCCTCCTCCTCTCTCCCCCATGCACCCCTAATAATTTGTAAATTATTATTGTATCTTATATTACACTGTCCGGTGTCTCCCTTCACCCACCCCTCCGCTGCCCATCCCCCAGAGAGGAGGCCACACGTAGCTCCCTGTGATCCATTCCCCCCTACTACATCCCCTTTCCCTCCTGGTATCGCCACTGTCACCCCTGGTCCTGAGAGGTTCCTCTGTCCTAGATTCCCTGCGTTCCCAATTCCCGTCTGTACCGCTGTGCATCATCTAGTCCAACCAGGTCTGCAAGGCAAAATTGGGGTCCTGGTAGTTGGGGGGAGGAAGCGTTCAAGAACCAGAGGAAGGTTGTGGGCTTCATTATTGTTATACTGAACCCTAAGTGACTCGTCTCCCCACTACCCCTCTGCAAGGTATGTCCAGTTGTCTAGAGATGAGAATTGGGTCTCCATCACACGCCACCCTCATTGACGAGGATATGCATTTCACTGTATCCTAGAATGGGGAGCAGGGGGCGACGGGGGGGTGTCTGGTGTGAGTGAATGTGCGGTCTCTGCTCACTCTTCCTAGTAAGTGAGCTAATTTCATTCCAACCCCATGAACAGATAGATAATTAACAGCTCCATGGCTGGTTTTGTTTTCTCAGCTCAGGACATTGGTTAGCTAGGACAGTCTGAAATGAACTGGAAAGGCAGAGAGCTAAAGGAGCCCAAAAGGGAACAATCTTATTCTTGACTGAAGACAAGAGTTAAAAAGCATGTCTGTTTGTAGGATTTAACACATTTGAAACAAATATCACCTTTTACGGGAAGCAGTGACATGACTTGACATGGTAGAAAAAGAACTTCATTCTCTGCTGTCACCTTTTGATTCTTGAAAGATCTATATTTAAGTGGTCTTTCATGTTTCAGGGTTTTGTTCAATTTAATTTTCTCAGAAGCTGGTTTTTGTTACTGTAGAATGAGGGATATGGAAAGGAAAAGAAGAATCACTTTAAAAAAAAGTCTTACGTACAACCAGTAATCATTCACATTGTGTCTATTTCTATATTTTCTGGATTGTTGACCTACAGGAGCCCTGGTGGCACTGTGAGGTAATCATTGGACTACAAGATCAGTAGTTCAAAATCACCAGGGTGCCTTGGCATACGGATAAAGCTCTCTTTTCCTGCAAAGATGAACGGAATCAGAGACTCTCAATGGAGTCACGATGGGTCAGAATCTACTCAATGGCATGGATGAGGGCTTGGAACTACAGGAACATAATAAAGCAACATACAACCCTCGGTAGGACTCTCTCTAGGATATTCAGCTGAAAATAGTACAAACTCCCTGAGCATGATATTATTCCGAGAAAGTCCCGATGGCTCAGTAAAGGCAGGAGAACATGTCTCTTTGGTGCTGGCTGCCATCAGGACCAAGCATTCTCTGATTCCACCTATCCTGTTCAGCTATTGTTCACCTATAGGATTCAACACCCACCTCTTCTGCCTTGAGGCTTCCTTTTATTTTATTTATTTATCTTTAGTTTAGGGTGGTGATTATTTCCAGAGATCATTGCAAAACTTGCATTTTTCACACAGTTTGGGGTGTATAACTTGCTGGAGTTTCAAAACAGTTGGAAAGTAGCAAATCCTATGGTTTGCTTCTGTCTTGTGCTTGTAGAGTAAAACTAGAATTTGTTTGGGGAAAAATTTATGTTACTATCTAGAAATGACTCTCGTTTTAGTTTTTGTTTTTTCATTTGTTTTCTATGAAACCTTGAAAGTTTTCATATGCTTCTCCATTGGTAGCTACACATGGACTTTATGATTTGCACAGAACCAATTAGATTCATTGACTCTACCATCTTTCTATCTATATTTGGCTTGGTTTGCTTATTTGTTTTCCAATCCCGATGCTTTAATGTATTCCATATTAAGTTTATCAATGTGCACTCTATTTCCTTCCACACTCTAAATAATGCAACAAGCTCATCACCCAACGCAGTTGGCAGAGCAATTTCAGCCCTTACAATTACAGATGATTTGAGAAGTTTAATATTATCTTCTCAACGCTATCAAATGGGACTTAGGTTTTATTCTGCCCTCCTGGTATGCAAACATAAGAAGTGCCTGAGTGTGAGTGCTATATTGAAATCGATATTGTTTCCCTTTATAATTAACTCTACCATGATACAAGTGATATTTACACTGATTCACAACAAATAATGCATCATTTCAATACCCTTATCGCCTTCATGTATGATGCTCTCAATGTCTTCCCAGAGCTCATCATGTCTCCTTGTTATTAGTCATCAGTGGAGCAAATTTGCTCTTCAGATGATCTCTAAATTCAGCTGGAATATACTGAAGATCATATTTTAGCGCTTGTGGACTTATTTTAACTTTTTTCACTTTCAACCTGAACTTACATAAGGCCAATTAATGGTCCACTCCACAGTGGGCCCCTGGCCTCACTTTAACTGGTGATATTGAACTTCTCCATGATCTCTTCACACAAATGTAGTCAATTTGACTTATGTGTATTCCGACTAGAGAATTCCATGTGTATAATCACCTTTCATATTTTGAAAAAATGTCTTTACTATGAATAAAGCATTGGTCTTGTAAGAGCAATCCTGGGATATCTAGCTGTTCTATCACCAAGGTCGGATTTTCTAAGTACTATATTTCTTTCTCTTTGTTTCCGACTTTTACACTTCAATTGCCAATGATTATTAATGCATTTCTGTTGCACATTGAATTGATTTCAGACTGAAGAGGTTGGTAGAATATATTTATAAGATATCATTTATATATTATAAAATGCAATTTATATATATTTGTAATATAATGTATAAATTATAGAAGTATAAAATATAGTATTTATTTTCTATTTTACAAAACATAATATATAATTGTGTAATATAATTTATATATTATATACTTATAAAATTCAATGTATATATATTAAAATGTGGATAAAATTTTATATATTTACATATGAACTTTTTTTTTCAATGTTTTTTAGTAAATAATAGGTAACCAAACACCTTTCATTTCAACATTCTTCATATGTATAGTTTGGAAACATTAAATATGTTTGTCATGTCACTCGACGACATTAACATTAACCGATATTTTCCTTATCTATATATCTTAAGCATAGTTTATTACACAGCTCTATGTTCTCTTCATCAGATGCAAACATGGTATTTTGACTGTTCCTTCTTTTTAGACATCTAGCATTATACTTTGGGTATAATAGACTTTATTCATAACATGACATAAAGCCCTTCATGATTGCTTAAATATCCACCAATTAAAACAGAACTTTGGAAACACCCCAAATCCAAACACATTCTTAATACAGAGGTTTCTTTATTACCCTTAAACAGGACAAAGAAAATCATCCTGGTGAGAGAAATCATCAACAATAAGTGAAGATGGAATTTGATGAACTCAAGGCTATGGGGTTAATTGTAGATGATGAAACAGAAATTAAAAAGATGAAGGATGCCGGCAGAATAATTCACCTCTGCGGCAGGTGGCTTGCAGAAGCGAGGAAAGGACAGTGACTGGGATGTGTACAAAATTGAAAATTTGAAATCTATAAAAATTGGTCTTTGGGCTTGAACTATCTAGCCACATGATGGCTAGGCTTTGACTCATGATGGTGTGGCTTAGAGTCATAGCCACCAGCATCCCAAGTTTCAGGCGACATGCTAGTCCACTTTCAAACACATTCCATTTGAGGGCTGGCTAATGGCCAGAGAGAAGTCCAATGAACTCGGCACCGATGTCCAGACTCAGGCTCGAGACTTACGGCTCTGCCTTAAGCTTTCCACAAACCAAACACTTGAGAGTTTAAGCTCCAATGCAATGACGTGGAAAACAAGGATGTTAATAAACTGAAGCCATGGCATGTAACGCTGACTTCTGGTTTTCTGTTTGTTTGTCTCTCCTCTTAGTTCGTTGCCCAGCCCAACTGTCAACAGCTGCTTGCCTCTCGCTGGTATGACGAGTTCCCGGGTTGGCGGAGAAGACACTGGGCAGTGAAGATGGTGACGTGTTTCATAATTGGACTGCTTTTTCCCGTCTTCTCCGTGTGCTACCTTATAGCTCCTAAAAGCCCCCTTGGCCTGTTCATCAGAAAGCCCTTTATCAAGTTCATCTGCCATACAGCTTCCTATTTGACTTTCTTGTTCCTGCTGCTGCTTGCCTCCCAGCACATCGACAGGTCAGACTTGAACAGGCAAGGTCCGCCACCAACCATCGTCGAGTGGATGATATTACCGTGGGTCCTGGGTAAATTATATTACTATAGAAAATATCATAAAATTGTGTTACTGCCATGGCATTTTGTTTCTCCTCCAAGAATAGTCATCAAGGTTTGGGCATAGCAACAGTGGCATCACTAGGATTGGCGTCAGCCAGTGCAGTCTTTCTGACTGTCGCCCCCTCTCCCTAGACCTCCTCCTGTACCAGATCAAGCCAAGACCTTCGTAACGTTCACTATCAGTTTTCATCCTAAAGTAAATCTGTGATAAATATAGTTGTACGTTATTGGCATGTGATCTTTCTTAGATTATATGAGTACTAATAAGTAAAATCACTTTGGATAATCTTTCTACACTGAAATGATAACATCATTGATATAACATTTTTTTAGTAACTGAGCAGAAGACTGTTTTGATTTCCTCTTCTTGTCTTTTAATTACTACTCCATTCTTTTTAAGGTTACTGATGTAGGTTCACAAATACCAAGTACCACAATGTTGTAGCCGGTTAACGGAGCCCTGGTGGCGCAGTGGGTTATGTGTTGGGCCGCTAACTGAAAGGCCAGCAGTTCAGAACCATCAGCTGCTCCTCAGAAGAAGGAAGGGGCTTTCCATGCCCATAAAGAGTGTGCAGGCTTGGAAACCCACAGGGGCAGTGGGTCTCTATGAGTGGGCATCAACTTCAAGGGTCTCTATGAGTGGGCATCAACTTAAAGGCAGTGAGTGAAACCCGAGATTAAAAACACCAGCAGCAAGGAAAACACCATCAAATATAGACAAAACCATGTTGTTTGAAGTGTGGTTTTAATTGGATTACATTGACAACTCTGGAGCACATTAGAAGGTTCAGAAAATATTTATTTATTATAAATATAAATAGCATAGAGTTATATATAGTCTCATAGGTATATTGATATAACTACACTGGGCTTACCAAAAGAAACCAGAAAAGTTGTTTAATTATATTAACTATAGAGGTATTTTTATAAAAAATAAATATTTTCGTTGAAGCATTGCACAAATATCGTAAAGACAGGCATTTTGGTTGTCACCCTTCTCTGACAATGCCACCCACTGAGGTCCTCACACCCTGAACCACTCCCAGTGGTACACGGCATGGGAATGTTTAATCCAGGCTCTGACTGCTGTGCTTCCGGGCCCTAATAACAGTGCTAAAGATACAGAGTCTGAGCTACCTTGGCCCTGCTCCTGAATGGAACCCATGAAATCCAAACGTAAGATTTAACCTTCCAAATTTTAATGGCTTCATATCTCAAATGTGATTCTAAATTTTGTTGTTTTTTTTGTTTCTTTGACTTTCAAACCTTTCTATATGTGTTATTGACATGTATGAATAAGCTTTCCAATTTTCTTTATTTTTATGCTTTATAAGTAGAAATCACTAGGAAGAATTAGTGTATGATTTATAAAGTAACAAACCATTTTTTGTAAAAAAAATCACATTTGAGGGGAAATTTGGAAATTTGAAAATAAAAATGATGAACCTCATTAATGTCACTGAGTGGGAATGTAGGGGGGGTGAGGTTAAAATGGAAAGAAATTAATCTATCTTGACGCACTATTACTTAAACTCGAATACTTGGTTAGAAGGATAGAAAATTAAACAATAGAGTATCCCCGAATCCCTGTCTTTTTTTTATACCAAGAAAATTATTTGGATCTGCAGAAAATGGTGTTAAGGTAGAAAAACTTAAAACTAACTCGTGAAATCTTTCTTTTGCATTGTTTTAATTTTTGTCACCCTGGTTGAAATTTCCATTTTAATTATTCTTCCCTCTCTCCTGCTTTGGTTTGCTGAGAAATCAGTTTCTCGATGTAGCTCTCTAGCATCACATTTATCTTATTATTTAGTTTTTAGGAAATATGTCACAAATTTGATTATCCACCATCTGAGCTGATCAAAACGGTAGCAGAGTCTATAACTAAGGGACGGGCAGTGAAAAGAGATGATCTAAGTATGAGATGTACGTCTGTTGAGAGGATACAGCCCTGACTCAAACCTTACCTCATTACAAGCCGTGCAGTTTTCCGCTGTTCTGTTAGCACGCCTGCCTCCTGATCCACATATAGGTTCCGCATGAGCCTAGGAAGTGCTCTGGAATTTGCATTCTTCTCAAGGTTCTCCCTAGTTGTTATAATCCTCACTGTCAAGTGCCTTTGCAGGGTCAATGAAGTACTTTGGGCATTTTATCAGGAGAGACCAGTCCCAAGAGGAGAACACCATGCTTGGTGAAGTGAGGAGGCGTGAACAGGAGGAGGGTTTGTGACAAGAAGGGCTGACCCAGTGGCTGAACGATGTGCTCAAATAGAGGACATTGTGAGGACAGCACAGGACCAGGCAGTGGTCGTCCTGATGTACAAAGGGTTGCTCTGGGTCAGAACCAACTCAGTGTCACCAGACACCGGCAACAAGTCAGAGACAGATCCACTCTTCAATGACAGAGATTATAAACAATCGAGTACTGACACTATTCACACTGTTGTAGGGAGAAGATTGAAAATGCTTTATGCATATCATTGAAAAAAGAAAGCACTGTTTTCTGGAGGGAACTTTAAAATTAACTACTCATCGAGCCGAAGTGTATTAAACATGAGCATGTTTAAATTATACGAAAGAACTGGGTCACCTGTAAATGCCCTTCCGAGTGAATTAATGACATTGCTGTTAATATGAAGGGTGAAATCACCTTGCTGGTCTTAATTAAAATCAAATAACGTCACATAAAGTTACCTTATGGACTTTTCTCTATAGGAAATTTCTTTGGAAAGATTCTTACAGAATCGTTTATAAATGCTCATTAACAACATTGAATGTTCAAAACCTGGTGTCCTAAGGGTACTAAGGAATATTTAATTTCAAAAAGGACTACTATAATATAAAGTCATATAAGCAAGTACATTTACAGTCTTTCATTTATGCTCTCAGTAAAAGTTTAGTGAACCTTTTCAGTGTATTCACTCAAGTTTAGGGCAACAGAGATTTTAAAACATAAAAGAAAGTTTTGTTCTCATGAAACTTAAATTCTATTGGAGGAGCTCAGTAAGAAATAAAGAAATAGTGTCAGAAAATAGAGTATGGTATAAAAAATGGATGCTCAAAGTTTATAATGACTTAGACAGCTAAAACTGTCACTGGAAACCTGTAATAGAATATTCCATGAAAATCGACTAGCGTAGCTCACTTCTAAATCACAGCCAAATTTCTCAAAATGCAATTTAATTGTGCGAATTAGAATTCCAGTTGAGTGTAATATATGCTAAAGAAAACATATATTAACTCCCTGACCTGAGGGAGTTAATTTAGGTGTGAACTTGTCGAATAAAAAGAGCTTGCCCAGAATAAATAAAAGTGCATGTCAAGAAAGTTCTTGTTTAAATCATAGACCATGAGAAGCATATTGTTCGCACATCAAACAGATCTCTCAAGACAGTTGTATTGTTTGTCAGGTCTGGGGAATTCTTCGTCTCATACGAACCTTCAAAGTGATTGACAAAATCCACAATTACACGGGATAGGCTTAGTCTATGACATTGGAGTGATAGAAAGCTCACTGGGCTTGAATTCATACCCAGGTTCTACAGTTCGAGACGCTGAAAGCTCTTTCTTTCAATGTCTTCATTCATAAGATGAGAAGGTTTGGGGTAGCTGACCTTTACGGTGTCCCTGGGTCCTTCATTCCATGCTACAGTGTGTCACTAGCGTTTAGGCAGCAGACATTTGTGACGTTTCCTTGGTCAAAAAGGGGTGGTATAATAACATCAAAATATGAACATTTTAATCTTTTTACCAAAAAAAGTATAATATAGACATGATCCGAGTTCATGAGCTTCCCATATTTGTACCTATGTTGCCATCATTATTTTCTAAACATTTTCTTTCTATTTGAGCCCTTTGTATCAGCTCTTCTTTTTTCCCTCCCTCCTCCCTTCCTACCCTTGGTAAATTATAAATGATAATTATTTTACACTGACCGCTGTCTCCCTTCCCCCCACAGTTTCTGTTGTTCATCCCCATGGGTGGTGGCGTGGTGGTGGCTATGTGTTGAACAATGTGATCGGTTCCCTCTTCCTCCCTTCCTGTACCCACCTTCCACTGACCCTTCTGGTGTTGCTACTCCCATTCCTGTACCTAGATTCCATGTGTCATAAGCTCTTATCTCTTATCTATACCTGTACACATGTTCTGGTCTAGCTGCAGTGAAAGGCAGGACTGGGGTCATGATAGTGGGGGGTGAAGAAACCTCAAGGAACCAGAAGAATATTGTGTTTCATCCGTGCTATACTGCGCCCTGGTTGACTCATCTCTTCCTTGTGACCCTTCTGTGAGGGGATGTCCCATTGTCGACAGATGACTTTTGGATCTCCGCTGTGACCCCCTCATTCTCAACAATATGGTTTTCTTTGTTTGTTTGTTTGTTTGTGGTCTTCTGATGCCTGTTACCCAATCCAGTCAGCACCTCATGATCACACAGACTAGTGTGCTTCTTCTATGTGTGCTTGTTGCTTCCCTGCTAGATGACCACTTGTTTAACTTCAAGCCTTTTGAACCCCAGACACTATATCTTTTGATAGCCGAGAACCATCTGCTTTTTCACCACATTTGTTTATGAACCCACTTTGTCTTCAGCAATCATGCCAGGAGAGTGAGCATCACAGAATGTCAGGCTGTTAGAACAAAGTGTTCTTGCATTGAGGCAGGATTTGAGGTGGAAAGTTCTAGGAAGCAGAGCTATGGAGAGAGGTATAAACATAGATGGGTACATACGCAAACCTCATTTTTGTGTGTGTGATGGCCAATCTAAGAGAACAGCGTGAGGCTGTGAAATTTTGTTTCCTGCCCTGGAAAAATGCTGCAGAAAGTGTTGTGATATTGAACACAACTTACAAGAACAGCACTGTGGCAAAAATGCAAGGGTACAGGTGGTTTTCTCATTTCAAAAAAGGTGAAATGTCAATTGATGCCAAACCTTGTTCTGGACATCTGGCAACTTCCGAATGGATGAAAAT